CTGATTTGCTAGGGCTTCATTGACAGGAAGGCAAACGCCTTCAAGGCAAACGCCTTCAAGGCAAATGCCCTAGCTACTGTGCTATTGCTTTAGCCCATGATTTCACTTTGTCTTTTTCCAATTTGGATCTCTATGATTTATTGATATTTGCCAAATTGTTGTGACTTGGATTTCTAAGTCCATGCTGATTACAGGAGAATAAGGAAACCATTTTTCCTCTGTGCCTGATCTTAGACAGAAATCGTTCAATCTTTTGCAATTAACTATGATAAAAGAACATGCTAGTACACCAAAATATATGCAATGAAGATCAGGTAAACAAGCTAAAGCGCTCCAGTATATAGACCATAAAAGAATCTTCAATTATTTGATAATGGTGTCAAAAATATGTTAAATCAAGGTAAAGAGCTGAACTACATCAAATTGAAAATGATTTTTATGGCTAAACAATCCTACAGGCTAAAACTAAAAGAAAACACTGTTAGATGTGAGAAAATGTTTGCACACAAAATTTAGATAAAGGCTAATATGTATTACATATGGCTGTCAAAATGTTCAATAGTAAAAGTGCCAAATATCCCATCAATTATGAGAAAAAAGATAAAGAAGAAGAAGACATACAGATAACCCATGGTCATTTAAAAAAGTGTTCTTTGTATTCCGATATCAGGGAAATGCAAAAAATAAATGAATAAATAAATAAAACTTGACAGTGAGATGACATCTCACGCTAGTGAGAATAACATGTATGTAGAGAAGACTGGAATAACCAGTGCTGTTAAAAGAAACTCTCTTTCATTGTATTTGGAATGTTGTCTGTTTCAGTGTCTATGGAAAGCATAAAAATTTCTCAAAAAAAAAAGGAGAAATGGACCTGCAATATGATCCAGCAACTCAACTTCTGGCCATCCCCACTCACAAACTAAAAATCATTAACGTAAAAATTAAGCACAAGTATGATCATCGCAATGCTTATTACAGAAGCCAAGACTTAGAATGTCCAATGACAGGTGAATGGAGACAGAACTTATTTACAGATGATGCAATATTGTGCAGCTATAAAAAAGAAAAAAAGATGAAATATAGTTGGAGGCAGTGTCAATGGCATCAGAAAGTAAGTTAAGGGAAATAAGTCAGAGGGTAAGTGACAAATATCACTTATCTGCAATATACGAAAAGATAAGTTAAGAATGTCGAATAATATTGTATAGAATCAAACGATAACAAACACTTGGCCTTGCACTACAGAACTCAGATTACCAGAGAGTCGGGGAGAAGAGATGGAGATGGAAAAGCAGATTACCAGTCAAACAGGGATAGTAGGGGAGGATCTGGGATACTTGACTGGATACTTTGGGGAAGTGCAGTAACTTTGCCCAATAATGCTCTAAAGCTTTATACTACTATAACCATTACCAAATCTATAATATAAAATATTGTCACTGTCCTCCCAGTGTTCATAGATTTGCTTGAGTGGGCCCAGAAACGTCTCCATTGTGACACTTGTTACTGTGTTTGGCATATCAAATATATCACAGGGAGCTTGCCAGGCTTTGCCATGTGGGTGAGATACATTCGGTAGCTTGCTGGGCTCTCCAAGAGGGGCGGAGGAATTGAACTCAGGTTGACCAGGTCGGCCGCGTGCAAGGCAAATGCCCTACCCACTGTGCTATCGCTCCAGCACCATTTTTAAATAAAGATAATTACAAGCTGGGGCATTATCCTAAAATCAAATTATAAATTAAATTGTGATCCAGTCAATAACATTAGTTAAAAAATTAATTGGTCTTACAACATATTTGTAATCAAAACACAACTTATTATGTATTTATTTTGTAATTCAATGAATATAATAAAGCTATATTCCCAGTAACTAGGTGAGATCATTAAATATTTCAACAGGAAAATATGTTGCAAGAAAACCCAACAAAATTACAAGTGTGGACCCCAGAGTGTTACACAGAATTACCAATACCCAGAGCACCCAGGAACTTTGTTGCTGCTAACATTATTTCACCCCAAATCCCAAATGGCCAATGAACTTAATGGACTTGAGTTATACTTTCCACAGACTACATTTAAATGAAAGGGACTGAATGGCAGGGATATGACTTCCAATAATTGTCAGCTTCTGAGACTGACAATTTGTCTTTATGATGAGGTAAGAAATTTCTGGGTGTGCTCTGGTGAGTTTCCTCAGGTTCTAGAAAGATAGGTTATGTTGTAAAATGGAATGCAAATAAGAGAGAGGTTATGAGAGCATAAAAACAATCATATCTTTACTGGAAATTTACTAAAATATAGCAATTTTCATTACTTTGTTAAATATAGAAAGAAAAATCCTTCGATTGCAGAAACATCTTAGTGGAGTAATATGATCCCTTCTCTATCATTTACCTTAAATTTGGTACCTTCCACTCAAATATACACCAAGATGCACATCCACACACACGCTCAAAAACCACGACTCAAAGAATGAACAAATGTGCCAAGAGATTAGCTTTGATTTGTGTTGGGGATATCCCACCTCTTAGGGGATAACTTCTCTCCACCAATTTCAGACTTAAACTACCTTCTAATTCAGCAATATTCATAATCATACACTCACAGTAAGAAATTATAACACGTTATTTGTCTTATTTTCTTATACTCTATACTAATTACATTCCTATATCTTGAGATCCTAAGGTGTATATAATATAATGTAGTTCTACCAATGATCATGATTTCATTTCAGAAAAAAATGATTCAGAATAGTATTTTTAGAGCCTTCTGAAATCTCTTCACATCAGAAATTTTTCATCAATTTTAGGATTTGAATGGATTTTGCTAGTGAACTAAATTTAAATAAACATAATGTTCTTCAGTACAGGTTATTTATGTGTTATGTAAATTCAAAATTGATCTAACTACAGACTGTTTGCCAGAGAACACATACAAATTTTACTATCCTATTCACATGCTTAGGTGACTTTATCACTAACATAAATTTGAAGTGAATCTTTATCAGTTTCATCATATGTGTTGAGAGAAAGTGCTATTCATAACTCATATACTATTATTCAACTGAAAGATTGAATAAATCATTTAAAATTTCTTTCAGGAATATTCTTATCATTGAACAATATGCTTTGGACAAAATTATCTTTCTAGATTTTAAAGTGGGGAATTAGGTTCGCACGACACTTGACATGATGCATTATGATAACAATATGCTCACAAATTGTTATTTGAGTACAGGTCCTATCAATTCACACTGCTTTGAAATAGTATTTTTCTGGGACGAGAGAGACACTTCAGCAGGCTGAGCACAGGATGTCTAGCAGGAAACTGGGGATCCCACAACACTGCAGAGATCAACTTCCGTGCACAGAGTTATGAGTCGTCCCTGAGCACTGCTGATAAAAGCAAATAGCAAAATGAGACATTTTTCTGGAGAAAAACTTTCATTGTTTATTTTTATCTGTTGCTATTTTGTGTGTTCACTGGTTTATTCTATACTCTAGAAATCTGAGAGGAGAGTTTCATACCCTTTAGCCTAACTTTCCAGTCTTCCTTCCTTCCTTCCTTCCTTCCTTCCTTCCTTCCTTCCTTCCTTCCTTTCTTCCTTCCTTCCTTCCCTTTCTCTCAGTCATTGTCAGAGTTTTCCCAGTATCTGAGGCTGGTTCTGCTGTTTGGTCCTATGTTTCAACCGAGTCCAACGAGCTGGCATTCCAAGGAAAAATATTGAGTAAGAAGAAAAAGCATTAGCGACTTTTGCCCTCATGCATGATAAAATTATAAACCCCCTAAAATGAACTTTTGTGTGATACTAGTCATGTGTACATAGGAGGGTTGACGATAGTGAATAGAGACTTTAGAAGGTTATTTCTAAGTGTTGTATTGAGCTGAACAACACTGTGGATGGAGAGGGCGGTTCCCAGCAGTTCTCAAGGGGCCTCCGCCTCTTGCAGTGACTCTCACACACAAGGGCAGCAGCTCCGTTCTAAGGCCTGAGGGTGAGGAGCTGCTGGTCCCTCCAATGCCACAGAGCATCGATGCTCCCAGGAGTGCTCAGGGACCTTGGGATCAGCAGTGCTTGTGGGAGTAGGGGCATGTGATACCAGAGACCATAGTGGCATCTCCTATATGCAAGGCAAGCTCACAGTACTTTCGTGGTGGTTTTATTTCTATGTGCACATATCTATATGTGGATATATAAATTATGTATGCATGTATGTATATGTATATGTATATATACATATTTGGTATAATGAGGTCAGGACAAACCCAAACATTGCTGCAGGGGAACCTGATTCACCTTTCTGGTATATTGCGAAACACAGTTACATTTCAGAGCTGGGCCCAAAAATTGTGAAACTAGACTCCTGTCATGCTGGGGATGGCCAGATTCAGTCTGGCAGTACTCGAAAGTTCTCCATGGCTCACTTCACAGTGCTCAGAAACTGCTTTGTGCAAGGAATCTAATGCAGGAGTAGCAGTGCTCTGCCAGCAGAAATCTCTCTACACAGGTAGTTCTCAGTAACCCCCAAGAACAGAGCTGGGAGTGGCCCCCAACACCACTGGGAGTGCCCTAAAAGGAAACAAACAAACAAACTCTAGTCATTCCAAAGATCACAAGTCAAAAAAATGAAAAAGGAAACAAGGTCATGTGCATCCAAAATATGTGACCTGATAATCTAGTATGCTATGGCCCCACTTCTGTGCTTTGCTCCCTTTTAACCTATGTCTGAGAATTCTATACCGTTATCGTTTGTAAAATTGAAATAGCAAAGTTAAAATACATAATTGATCATAATCAATATCTATTCCTGATAGACAAAGTAGCCAAATTGTTTTTAATGGTTATCACTATAGAAAAACTTTCACTTTTCTAAAAGAAAAGTTTTCATTCTGACTTCTAACCCAAACTTCATGGTGTAGACTGATGTTACAAAAACAATTTCTCTTCAAAGATTCCATGTTGTCTTGCAGTCAAGCACAGTAAGAAGTCAAGGACTATGGATAATTTCAACAAGAGTGGGTTTCTTCTCTTGGGATTTTCTGACAAACCTGAACAAGAACTCTTTTATGCTTCTTTGTTCTTGGTCTTATACGTGTTGGCTTTAACTGGCAACATGCTCATCATCACCACAACTGCCCTGGATGACAGTCTCCAGTCCCCCATGTATTTCTTCCTGAAGCATCTCTCCTTGTTGGATCTCTGCTTTATTTCCGTGACTGTGCCGAGATTCATTTACAACTCTTTCAAACAAAGTGGAATTATTTCTCTCGGGGAATGCATAGTGCAGTGCTTTGTTTTCATTACCTGTATTTCTGCTGAGATGGCCATGCTCACGTTGATGTCCTATGACCGCTACGTGGCCATTTGCCTTCCCCTGCACTATGAAATCATCGTGAATGTCAGAACCTGTGTCCATGGGGTCGCCGGCGTCTGGGTGAGTGGGGCCATCTCTGGAGTCATGCACACGGCAGGTACTTTCTCCATCCACTTGTGTGGCCCCCGCATCATTCACCAGTTCTTCTGTGATATCCCCCAGATCCTGAAACTCTCCTGCTCTAGTGACTTTATGAGTGAAGTAGGTGTCACTGTCTTTACGGCTTTGCTGTCCTTTCTTTGTTTCCTGTTTATTGGGTTCTCCTACGTGCACATCTTCTCTTCCGTGCTGAAGATGCCGTCTGCGGAGGGCAGAGCCAAGGCCTTTTCCACTTGCCTCCCCCACCTCGCTGTTGTCATATTGTTTCTTTTTACTGGTGCTGTCGAGTTTTTCAAGCCTCACTCTGAATCTCCAACTGCTTTGGACCTGTTACTCACTCTTATGTATACGGTAGTTCCCCCAACTTTGAATCCAGTGATCTATAGCCTAAGAAACAAAGCCCTAAAGTTAGCTCTGAAAAAGGTTTTTCAAAGAAGAAAAGAAGCACTTACTTCCATTCTTTCCCTATTGGGCGATAAGTTCAATATATAATTGCTAATATATATGGAGTTAATAATTTTTGTGTGTCTGTTAAGGTCACATTTGGTGGTACTCATGGCTTGCTCCTGTTTCTGTGCTCAGGGATCCTCCTTGTGTGCTAGGAGAACCTTATGGGCAGGTGGGAGTTGAACCATGATCAACAATATGCAATGGAAATCCTGACTTGCTGTACTTTCACTCTGGCCTCAATAGATTAAAATTTATTTTAAGTGATATTTTATGCTTGATTGTAGGATTCATAGTTCCTCCTTTCTCCTCTGTCCTCTTTTTCTGCACTGCAGGGAGTTCAGATTTATTGAATTATACACATCACCGAGCTCCCAAAGCATTCCCACTTCTCTGTGTTTATCTTTAACTTCTCCTTTGTACTCTGCTTCCCCGGTGCGTTAATCACTTATCCCAAAATCAGATCCTGTGACTTGTAAAGTCAGATTCTTCTAGACCTCTGGGTTTTGTATTTCAAGCAATTGAAATATCGCTTTTCTTTTTCCTCTATGTTCTTTGCATTGTTTATGTTAGAGCAATATCCCTTTTGTATAGACACAGGAAGACAGTTAAAGCTATGCTTCTGTAAATTGTGGGTTAATTAACTCCCAGTAATATTAACTTCTTGGCATTTGTCATATTTACTTGACTTAAGCCTAAGTTGTCCTAAGTTCCTAGCACCTCAAAAGGAGGGTCCTTATGAAGAGAATGAATAGACCCAAGGCAAGCTATAAGCCTCCCTGGCATCAAAAAGGGACAGTTCAAGTGTCATACAACTTATGAGTTAAGAGCACGGGTATGGACAAATTCTATCATGACCTAAAAAGAAATTGACTGAATAAGGAACCTGCATGGTTAGGAAGGACTAAGCTGGCCTATGGACTCTAGTCTGGAATATACAGAGAGATGTCCTCAGATGTCCCCATGAAAGCCACCCTTTATTGTATCTCTTAAAATTTCCATACAGAATGACTAATATTATTAGGAAGTGGGTTTATGATGACTGTTTGAAAGGATATGAACTAAGGAAAGGAGAGAAATATGCCTCTAAATGGAATTCCACCCTTGGGCAGATCTTCTAGCAGGATGAGATCTTTGTCTTAGAAGAAGCTTCCCTGGAAGGAAGGACTTTATATATGCTGATCGTGTGATCTCACAGATGTGTAATTGCTACTCCAACCTTGGATGTTTTGGCTTTTAACGAAAGCCCGGAGATGGGAAATGGTAGCAGAGTAAGACTGGAATGGGGAGAGTGAAACTGGATGGACACAATGAAACTGGCTGGAGAAAGTGAAACTGGATGGGAAGTGTGAGACTGGAATGAGAAGCATTGTATGTCTGGAATGGTGACGAAGATCAGAATAAACAGCGACTGGTCTCTGTTCCCTCCTTCATGCATCCAGCAGTGGTGGCCAGCTGAGGTTGAGAAGCAGCCCCTGACTACCAAAAGCCCGCAACACACGCCTACATTTTTTGAACACACAGTTGATGAAACCCTTTTATATATGTACAATCTGGAAAACTAAAGTAACCATATTTTGAGCCACAGAAAACAATTTTTGAATATCTTATTTATTACCTACAAATCAGATGTGAAAATAATGCAAATTTCACTATGTTTAAGAAATCCACCTCTGTTTTTTTCCCAAGTAATTTATGCAGTGATGATGGAAATCAGATATAACATTCATAGTCACGGTCCTCCCGTTGTTCATCGATTTGCTTGAGTGGGCCCAGTAACGTCTCCATCATGAGACTTGTTGCTACTGTGTTTGGCATATCGAGTATGTCAAGGGTAGCTTGCCAGGCTCTGCTCTGCGGGTGAGATACTCTCGGTAGCTTGCTAGGCTCTCCAAGAGGGGCGGAGGAATCGAACTCGAGTCGGCCATGTTGGCTGCGTGCAAGGCAAACACCTTTCCGCTGTGCTGTCGCTCCAGCCCCAACATTCATAGTAAATTTTCCTAATTTCACAGAATTTTGGACAATGCATGATATCCAGGGCTGGAACTCGATCAGAGGGACTAAGGCCCCCAATGAGCGGCACTAGGAACTGCTCCAGGCTGGAGCAATAGCACAGCAGGTAGGATGTTTACCGTGCATGCAGCTGACCCTGGTTTGATAACTCCATCTCTCTTGGAGAGCCGGGCAAGCTACCAAGAGAATCCCACCCACATGGCAGAGCATGGCCCGCTCCCCGTGGCATATTCAATATGCCAAAAACAGTAACAATAATTCTCACAATGGAGACGTTACTAGTGCCAAATCGATGAACAACGGGAGGACAGTGCTACAGTGCTACAGTACATGATATCCAGAATTGCTGAGATCGCTCTGATCTTGACATCACTATTTATTCAGAGCTCCATAACTTTCTACCAATGCAAAACTTTACCTGAAAGTATCCCATACACCGTTTGCTTTGCCTCTTCAGATTACGGGCTTACTCTGGATATTCATAAGGAATAACTATTTAAATGATAAAATAATCTGGAAAGCCACAGAAAAACAGGATTATATTTTGTTTATTGATTTCTTAGGCACTATTATTTACAAATGTTGACAATATAGTCTCAGGTCGACAATGTTCCAGCTCCAATCTCAAGACCTGAAAAGGCATAATACTGAAAATTTTTGTCATTTAGAAGAGGGACCTGTGGAGGTAGAGTATGTAAGAGAGAATTTGGTGTTTGGATGAACTGATGTCGTATTTTAAATTTTTTACATTATGAAATGTTAGGACTTTGTCTTCTGAAATATATTCTCCATCCACGTTGTAAGCTTATTAGACGTTTTTCCATATGTTTAAAATATCTAATTTTTCCCCTTTCATGATGTGTTCTAATTTGTTTTATGTCTATTATCATGTCACATGTGAATACTGATTTTCTCTTTGTCTTTTTACCATTTGGATCTCAATGATTTATTTTTCTTGCCTAATTGTTATGACAAGAATCTGAGTGTACACTGATTAGAGATTTATAAAGGAAACGTTCTTGTTTTGTGCCTGATTTTTATCTTTCAATCTTTTGCAATTAACTATGATGAAAGAACATAGTATTAGAACAAAATTCATTAAATACACATCAGGTAAATATATTCAGAGCTGTCCAGCCTATAACCCCCCCAAATTATCAATTATTTGAAAATGATAGCAAAAAATAAGTAAAATAATGGTGAATAAATAAACTACATCAAATTTAAAATGGCTTCTATGGACAAAATCCAGCACTGGCTAAAATTAAAAGACACCTTATACAATATGAGAAAATATTTACACAAATAATTCACATAAAAGCTAATATTCATTATGTATTATGCTAGCAAAATGCTCGAGTAAAAGTAAAAAAATCTTTTTTTAAAAGATGAAAATAATAAACAGACACTTTCCTGAAAAGGTCACACAGATGACCCACAAAAATGAAGTGCTCATTGTCATCTGACATCAGGGAAATGCAAAAAAAATTTAAACTAATCAATAAATAAAATAACAGTAAGAAAATATATCACATATGTGACAGTATCATATATTTTTAAATTTTGCAATAACCAGTGCTGTAAAACAGGAACCCTCATTCTCTTTTTGTTGAAGTGTTGTCCCAAAATTCCAAACGGGATCGGAATACCATCTCCTTCTTGCAAATTTCTACTTCACAGAGCGGGAGAAAAGACTGCAAAATTTAAGAAGAGAACTCCCAGAAAAACCAGCAACTAGGAGCTCTTTGGCACTATTGCTGCAACATAGGAAGATGCCGTTGTTGACAACATTGGTGACGAATAAGATCGACTGGTTCAATACCTCCATGATTATGCGAGGAATGCCAAAGAGATAGCCACAAAAAAATGCCTGTCTTCGAAAACTCTTGAGCTTATTCGCCAACATGGTTTGTCGCATGCCTCAGGCAACCGCAAGCGAACGTCCAAACTCCCAGAACAGTGCAGAGATGTGATCAAGGAAGACCTAAAGGAGAGAGGAGCAGCAGTGCTGGTAGATGCGGCAGAAGCCAGGAAAAGCATTGGTAATGCCCGCCTGTCCTTCGCCAACTACAAGACCAACTACAAGACCAAGACCAAGCCCTCCAACATCCTGATGGATCTATCACATCTTCCAGAAGGGCATGGAGAAGATAATCCATGACTTCTACTCAGATCTCTTTGATAGGCACGTCCACCTGCCCACATACCAAATTCTGCAGGATGGATATGTCGTTCCCAACATTCTCCCTTCGAAATTTGACACACCATTTTGTCGGTAAAGAATCGAACAGACCTGGCCCAGATAAGGTCAGAACTGAACACCTGAAGAACCTGCCGTCAGTAATCAATACACTGGCTCGGCTCTTCACACGCTACCTGTATGAATGCAAGGTTCCGTCCAGTGGAAAACCAGCAAGACTGAACTACTGTACAAGAAGGGATACATCCATGACATTGGCTACTATTGCCCTATCTGCCTATTGTCTGTCATCTACAAGCTGTTCACTCAAGTCATCCTGAATAGCATTGGCAGAACACTAGATGAAGAACAACCATGTGAACAAGCCAGGTTCTACAAAGGATTCAGCACGATTGACAATATCCACAGGATAACCAAGCTCACTGAGGTTTCTCAGGAGTTCAAGATGCCATTTTGTCAAAGGTTCATTGATTTCAAGAAAGTCTTTGATTCTGTTGAGATGGAAGCGGTCATTGAAGCCCTGGCAAATCAGGGCATTCAAACTCAATACATCGGGATCCTCTGTGAGCTGTATTACGGATTCACTACCATGATGGCAACATTCTACAAAAAAGTGATCATCCATGTGAAGAGAGGGGTTCAGCAGGATGATACCATTTCACTGAAAGTCTTCAGTGCCCCCCTTGAGAACATGTGACGGCATTAGTCAAGCGGCACAATTGCCAGTATCATTCCTGAGATTCCATTTGCTCTCAATGGAATGACCATCTTCGAATGCAACAATTATGTATATCTAGGTCGAGAAGTAAACATGACGAGTGATCTGGCACCT